ACGGTCTGTCTCCTCAGATCGTGACACGTGGTACGCATACTTGGGTCCTCTCTGGTGGTACGCAGGAAATCTCCAACTTTTTTTAAGATTAAATAATGTACCATTGTGGATATATGCAAAGACGATATAGAGTTCCCAAGGCTCGCCGGGAGCTGAAGTAAACCAGAAAACGTTTCCCTGAGTGTGAGTCCTCTATGAAGAGCAGCTTTTCCTTATCGCCAGACCACTACAGAGTGCTGGTGGTCTCGTTTCCCTGGGGCTTAAAACTGCAAAGGCACCACAGCGCCGTCAGGCTGATGGTAAAAACACAGCCCTTTTCTGCGGTGCCGCGATCCCAACCACCATCGATGAGTCGGAGGCTCCCGGGAGAATCGGTTCGGGCGCGGGAGATACCATCGGTGAGTCTGGAACTATCGCCCGGATGCCGAAGCTCCTTGTAGCCAGGAGAATGTGATCTGCTTCTTCTGCGTGAGGGCCTTAATCCTTCACAGCCAACAGCATGGAGTTGCTGAGGCCACCTCGCACCGGCATCTGTCGGAAGAATACGTGAGTGAAGAGGAATCCGCCGTCATCTGTTCCTAGCAAGGAAAGCGTGCTCCCCATGAGCTCGAGAGCGAGAGGAGTTTCACGGCCCGCTCTGCATCGGAGAGGGAGTAGCTCCGCAGCAGCGGTGTATTGAGAGCGGTGTATTTCCCTTGGCTGGGGGGATCCTGGAGGAGGCTCATCACTTGGCGGATGGACAAGGGTCATCACTTGGCGGATCCAGCAAGGCCACCACACTTCGTGTCGTCGGCTGAAATGCCACGAAGAGCTTCGACGTACATGAACTACGAAGGAGGGTCGTGAAGCGAAAAAATCCACAGTTTAACCACCAAAGCAAAAATTAAAACATACAGCTCTGGTATCACTTCCAACATTAATGAAGACAGAAAACTAAACAGCAGTGACGTTTGTAGAGTTACTGTCTGAAGTTGGGCTAGCTGGTATATAATGATGTTCTGTGTGGTGGCTACAAACACAGCTATGGTTAGCATAATATAAACACAGCGAAGCTGGAGGAGGAACACTAATCTTTTTCCACTTGATAAAAGTTAACGTGAGCGTTCCCGATGATTAGGGACAAATGCAATCGCATGGCAGGATGCTGTAAACGGACCAAACTTCAGTCAGGAGAACAACTGCAATATGAGCTTAGTCATGAGGCGACTTTTGTTGTGATTTGGCGCTGTATAAATAAAATTGAATTGAATTAATATACTGCTGTATGCGCTGGGCTGTAGTTACATGTAAGGTTTTAAAAACTGAGCTTTAAAATGAATAGGGATGATAAAAACCGAGAGAGGCCGACAGTGATCACTGACTTTTTTTAGGGGCTTGTCCAGATACAATAGGACAAAATACAAAACATTAAAACATGGTAAAAACACAACAGCCTTATTAAATGCAGAATAGTTTGGACC